TGTTTTAAAAGCACAAATTAAACAAACTCTTAAACTAATTAAGGGGGTTTGTCTTAAACCAACAGACTAGTCAGGAGTTTACTTTCGCTATAGCTTTTCTTTTCAATGAATCAAAGATGAAAGTGATGGAGTGATATTGCAATTAAACAACGTAGAAAAAAAATAGAAGAGTCCATTTAGTTGGTGGAAAATAACTACATGTTAGAAAATATTTTTCTATGAAAAATTATTTTTTTAAAAGAAATTATTCTTTATTTGAAATATTTTAGAAATTTTTTAATGAAAAATAATTTTACTGTTTGGTTAGCAACACGGTGTTATAATTTGCCAAAATGGAGTGGCAAAGGAAATTGAATTGTTTATATAGAGTATGAAATAAGAAATAATTATTGTGATTTATATTTGATATTTATAATTACAATAAAAATAAATTTCTCCTTTTTCCTACAAAACAAAAAATAATGACCAATTCCTTAAATCCACAACCAATAAGAGAAGAGAGACAGTTCTTGCCCTAAAAAAAGGAAAGAGTAAGAACTTATTATTTAACATTTAATGTCATTATATGGTAACTTTTATTAAAAACAGAGTTAAGTAACAAATTAATCATTACATATTAAGTAATAAATTATTTTTTTAACTGACAATTTAAAAGATAATTTATTTTTGTTTTTATAAGAAGGATCTGTCTCCGCTCATTTTTTGTGGTGTGTACTTGGGGTTCAACCAAAAATAATATATTAATTAATTATTATCCAATAATTATTGCTTAGGGGAGATGATAAAAAAATTGTGAATTAAATAAACCTGTCTCCGAATCTTCCGGCGAAGGATAGTCGGCAATTTCTTGAGGCTCGATATTCGAAGCATCCCCTAAATCACTTTCCATGTTAGGCTGTTTCATATCCACGCTGGAAGAAGCCATTTCCGCCTTAGGCTGTTTCACCATACATAAAACAAATTAAAAAACTTCTAACTAAAAAAATATTAAAAAAAACTTCGACATGTCTTTCCACAGTTGTCCTTTAGGCTATAGGATATTATTGTCATGACTCATTTTTCATGAAGTATTTTTTTGAAAATCTTTTCTAATGCTTTAATTAAAATTAATTTTTTTTATAATTTTAATTTTAAAGATTAAATGATAAAATTAAAAATTAATCATGTAAGAGAAATAAAATAAATTGAACTTGGTTGCAAAGAACTAAGACTTTGAAATTGTGAGTTACAGAACAGATTGATGAAATAAGACGTTAAGGTACAAAGTTGATGCATGTACGGAAGATGAGGTTCAAAAGAAAGAATCCATGAAACCACGTCGTTTTTATCCTCAAAAATGAGAGCCCAGGGTTTATTAGCGTTCATTCGCTCTGCCTCACCTTCTCTCCCAAAATTTCTTCTTCATCAACTTGAGTTCGATTAAAAGACGAATTTAGTGAAGAGATTTTTGGATCTAGGGTCAACCAATTGAAGGAATCAGAGGAGATCCGCAAGAAAAGAAGTCCAAAATCGATTTGGAGTTAGAAGCCCTAATCCACAGAGGTATGAACTTGGCCTTTAAAGTGGAAGAATGCAGAGACTCAATTGTATCTTAGGTTTCTGATTCTATTTGAATTGGGTTTTATCTGTATTTTGTGATTGAAGATTATGGTTTGAGATTGGCATGAACGGTTTGGGTTTCTATTTCCTTTTTTTTATAAAAGAGGGCTCCGGCGAAAAGAGAATGGAGAAAGGAATGAAAAATTCAGAAAAATATTGAGGGAAATATTTAGGAAAATTGATAGATAAAGAGAGAGCAGAAGATGAATGAAGAAATTGAGTTGCAGCTCACCAAAATAGGGAACTCCATCAATGAAGAAAAAAGGGTTTTCAGCTCACCAAAAAAGGGAACCCTGGGTGTCTCTTCTTGTCCTGCAACTCTCTTCTCTACGCTTTTCTTCGTAAAACAAAAACTCCAACAAAAACAACTGAAGTCTTGGAGAACAATTATTAGTAAAATTCTAAGCTAGGGACGGCGACGCGTCCCCATGGGATAGGATCCCTCCCCATTCTCATCCCGTCAATAATCAGTATAGGGATCCTTAGAGAGATTTTTAACAGGTTAAAATTCCTTGGGCAATTATGTCAACCACACAATAACTGTAAAATAGTTTATATTTTAGTACTAATTAAGGTATTAGTTGCACCAACAGACTAATGTATAAGTGCCTGATGCGGTATTCATCGAATTGGAGAATCATACTTCCTCCAGAATTTATAGCTGTTATTGCACGTAATTGTGGGTATTTTTATATATTATAGAAATGCTAATTATATTTTTTATATGAAGTGAAATTAAATAAAAAATTGAAATTATATTATTATAAAAAATGTCCTAAAAATAGGTTAAGTGACAATTAAATTAGACTTGAGGTAGTACTAAGCAGATCATAATTAAGATTTATAAAAAAATAAATTAAACTAATTGAAGAGATTTGTGTTAAACCAACAGACTAGTCAGGAGTTTACCTTCGCTTTAGCTTTTCTTTTCAACAAATTAAAGATGAAAGTGATGGAGTGATATTGCAATTAAACAACGTAGAAAAGAAAATACGAGAGCACAATTAGTTGGTGGGAAAAAACTACATGTTAGAATATATTTTTCCATGAAAAATTATTTTTTTAAAAGAAATTATTCTCTTTATTTGAAATATTCTAGAAATTTTTTTATGAAAAATAATTTTTACTGTTTGGTTTGCAAAACGATGTTAAAATGTGCCAAAATTGAGTGGCAAAGAAAATTGCATTGTTTATATAGAGTATGAGAAAAGAAATAATTATTGTGATTTATATCTTATATTTATAATTAAAATAAAAGTAAATTTCTTCATTTTCTTACAAAACGAAAAATAATGACCAATTCCTTAAATCCACAACCAATCAGAGAAGAGAGACAGAACTCGCCCCAAAAAAAAGAAACAGAGAATAAGGACTTATTATTTAACATTTAATGTCGTAACTTTTTGTTAAAAAGAGCTTAAGTAACAAATAAATTACATATTAAATAATAAATTATTTATTTTAATTGAAAATTTCAAAGATAATTTATTTGTCTTTTAAAAAAGGATCTGTCTCTGTTTATTTTTTGTGGTGCGTACTTGGGGTTCAATAAAAAATAATATACTAAGTAATTATCATCCAATAATTATTGCTTGAACAGTGCTAGGTGCACTCGCCTCTGCACTCTCCAACCAACACATGCCTTTTTATTGGGCCACGTAAGCTTGGTCTAGGCTATAATATGATCACCTCTCAAAACCCAAAATAACGTGGCCAATAAAAATGAAAGTGTTGGTTGGAGAGTGCAATTGGGGAGTGTTCCTAGCATTGCTCTGCTTGCTTAGGGGAAATGATAATTAAATAAACTGTGAATTAAAACCTACTGGCGGATCTTCCGGATGATGGATGACACTTACTTCAGTTTCTTGATGCTCGGCAACCGAAGCATCCCCTGAATCACTTTCCATGCTAGGCTCTATCTGAATTGTAACCGAGCTGGAAGAAGCCATTTGTATCTTTAGGCTGTTTCACCATACATAAAACAAATTAAAAAACTTCTTACTAAAAAAATATTAAAAAAAAAACTTCGACATGTCTTTCCAGTCTCCACGGTCGTCCTCTGGGCTCTATGATCTGTCAGAGGATTTCCTCCGCCATTATGCTGTTTTACCTGGGGTACAGGGTCCGTCCCCCGAGTGGGGTTTCTCGGCCTTTCTTATGTTTGTTCCGGAGTTGGTGGCACTTTTTGCTCAGCTTTGAGTGGTTTTGATGGGGAGTGGTTTGGTAGTAACAGCGGGTTAATGGATCGGCAGGGCTAGTGAAAAAGATTGAAGTCTGTGAGAACAATTACCAGTTAAGTTCTAAACCTGGTGGGTGTGGTTCATTTATAGGAGGATATGGAGGTTAAAAAGGTAAACATAATTTTTTTTTTTTTTGTAAATTTAAAATTTTGTTGAAAGAGAACTTAAAAATTAATTTTTTATG